GTGGAACTGTGATAGGATGCCACCTGTGCAACAAATCCAGTCGTGAAATTTCCTCGCTCCTAAATATTCCACAGTCAACTGTCAGCTGTATTATAAGAAAATGGAAGTGTTTGGGAACGACAGCAACTCAGCCACGAAGTGGTAGGCCACGTAAACTGACGGAGCGGGGTCAGCGGATGCTGACGCGCATAGTGCGAAGAGGTCGCCAACTTTCTGCAGAGTCAATCACTACAGACCTCCAAACTTCATGTGGCCTTCAGATTAGCTCAAGAACAGTGCGCAGAGAGCTTCATGGAATGGGTTTCCATGGTCGAGCAGCTGCATCCAAGCCATACATCACCAAGTGCAATGCAAAGCGTCGGATGCGGTGGTGTAAAGCACGCCGCCACTGGACTCTAGAGCAGTGGAGACGCGTTCTCTGGAGTGACGAATCGCGCTTCTCCATCTGGCAATCTGATGGACGGGTCTGGGTTTGGCGGTTGCCAGGAGAACGGTACTTGTCTGACTGCATTGTGCCAAGTGTAAAGTTTGGTGGAGGGGGGATTATGGTGTGGGGTTGTTTTTCAGGAGCTGGGCTTGGCCCCTTAGTTCCAGTGAAAGGAACTCTGAATGCTTCAGCATACCAAGACATTTTGGACAATTCCATGCTCCCAACTTTGTGGGAACAGTTTGGAGCTGGCCCCTTCCTCTTCCAACATGACTGTGCACCAGTGCACAAAGCAAGGTCCATAAAGACATGGATGACAGAGTCTGGTGTGGATGAACTTGACTGGCCTGCACAGAGTCCTGACCTCAACCCGATAGAACACCTTTGGGATGAATTAGAGCGGAGACTGAGAGCCAGGCCTTCTCGTCCAACATCAGTGTGCGACCTCACAAATGCGCTTCTGGAAGAATGGTCAAAAATTCCCATAAACACACTCCTAAACCTTGTGGACAGCCTTCCCAGAAGAGTTGAAGCTGTTCTAGCTGCAAAGGGTGGACCGACGTCATATTGAACCCTATGGATTAGGAACGGGATGTCACTTAAGCTCATATGTGAGTCAAGGCAGGTGAGCAAATACTTTTGGCAATATAGTGTATATTTCTATTTTTCATGCTATTTTTTCTTTTTTGCATTTTCTTTTAACAATCTTATATTTTAGAATAAAAAAATTATCTCTTTTTTTCAGATTTAGCTTTATGAAATTCATTCTTTTCAAATTGTGTTTCACAAACTGCATTCTCTTCACTTTACTTCAATACAAACGGTTGTACATTTACCTATTAAGATGTTGCTTCCAAGGTCAGTAAAGACAAATAACAATGCACATTCGTACCTTACACTAGAGGAAAGGCTACCCCTTAGAAATAAGAGAATGTGGTTAGCAAAATTTAACTTGAAAAGAATGTGATTAATGAAACTTTATCTGAAATAAAAGAATTGGAAAAATCTAATTTGAAACCTGAAAAATAAAAATAAAAAATTTAAAAAAAGTAAAACTTACGATATAAAGTCTTAAAAAAAAACAGAAAAAGAAATAGAATTGAAAAAAACAAACATTTGAAAAAAATTGTATTTGGAAAATAAAATGAGAAAACTGCTAAGTTACTCTCAAAACCTATTTTTATTAAGAAGTTTTTCAGAGTTTCATTTATGATTTTTTTTTCTAAATTACCACTTAAAAACATGTTGCATGCTTCCACCAATAACTGTGTTCTTAGAGCTGACCCAGCAAAAGGTGAAGGGAAAGTAGGTAAGAGTTTACACTAATCCAGACAGCCTCCACTCTTATTTTGAAATGCACATGATCAACTTTACTTTTCCGGTGTCTGATTTCCTCTCACGCTGCTCTGTTTTTAGAAATGTATGTATAAGTTCCCCTGTGTATTTCCAACAGATGTGGGAATTAATCCATCAACTAGAATGGCTTCTAATTGCAACAGAGATAAACTTATGGATGACAGAATCTGTTTGATTGAAGCTTTACCCTTTTCTATTGTCTTTGCTTATATAAACTACATGATCATGGAGAAATCCTCAAATAGCTGCTTTCTCCCATGTATTGTAATGCTTTATTAGAAGTTATTAAAATGACTTGGACATTTTGGCTGAGATTCTTTACACTATGTTTGCAAGAACCCTTTTATTTTCATATAGTCCAGAGATGTAGCTGTTGGACTAACGAAAACAAAATTATACACAGACACTGAATACTGCAGCCTTACAATCTAAACAATATATTAAAGGGAGCTGCATATAATTTTAGTACTAACAGTATAATCATTACAGGGCTTCTACTTTATCAGAATCTCGATTCAGTTTAAGCACATGAGCTGACAACATCCTAAATCATGTGAACAAAAACTAATATCTGTGCTCTTATGACTACTTAGCTAATAACTAGAAGAGTTAGTTTCCTCTGTTGTATTTCGATTCTGCAAACAATAAAATCAGGATGCAAACAAAACTCAGTAATTAGTTTATTCTTACATTTAAAGCAAAGTTGGAAGGAAATTCAACCATGCTTTAAATGAAGGCAGAGGAAAAGCTGATAGTGAAGATGACAGCTGAACTGCATCTTGGCCGGGTGCAAAAATAAACACCCACACAAACACACACCCTCAGTCCTACACAAAAAAACCAACAGCTAATAGAAAATACCAAAGCATCTATATGTCTCTAAAAGGTAATCAAGCTGATCAAAGTAACTAGTTACAGCCCAGCTTTGCAATAATAATAATTGAACTCTATTTATCCAAATTTTCCTCTGCATTTAATCCATCCCCTTGGGGAGCAGTGGGCTGCCACCGTTGGGCGCCCTGGGAGCAATTGGGGGTTAAGGGTCTTGCTCAAAGACCCAGAGTGGGCATCACAACCTCAGGATTCCAAGCTCTATGCTCTAACCACTGAGCTGCCTCTTGGGATCTGGTAACTGTTTTGTATAATTCTCCTAATAAATGATCGACGACCCATTTTTCAGTTTGGTGGAATCAACTAGATTTATATTTGATATGACCTTGAATTTCAGAGGGTCAATGACACAGTAGGTTGCTAAAGGTTTAGGTTGATGAAACCCCTCGAAAATATAATTAGCTTACTGAAACATAGAAGTTTGGAATCCATTCTTTGCCTGCTTTGTGAGGCAATTGTTATAGTTGCTAGGCGACAGAGGTAAGGCGGTGAAGCCAGAGAAGGCTGGACCTGTTTGAATCAATAGCCAAACTCTTCTGGCTTCCTTCCAAGGACCAAGTCCAGATAGACCAGGTCCTTGGAGGACGCAGCCTCTGTAATGGAACGCACCCCTGGACTCTGGATCCATTAATGTTTCTATTCTTGCATTAAGAACCAACATTGGCGCCCTCTAATATAGGGTTGCAACATAACAACATTGAAACAAGCTATTTCTAAGCAGAGTAATCCATTAATCAGATGGAACAAATTTGAATCTAAGAAGCCATTTTTTAAAAAGCAAACTATATGTTCACATCCCTTGTATTGCTATGTTACTTAATTCTTTTCCTCTTCACACTAGTTAGATTTTTTTATAGACACGGATTTATTTTTAAGCAGATCTCTAATTTATCTTAGTTTAGCTTCTTTCATATCTGGTTTCATTTGTTAGATCTTTTAAGCGGTTTTGCTTTGGTAATCTTATCGGTTTTTTTTTCTTTTTCTGTGTAATCAGTCCAATCGCATTCAGGTGCTGATTTTATTGTTTTATTATGGATACTAATTATCCTAATCAGTTCACCTGTGATGAGCCTTTCTTTTGCTCTTGTTTGTTCTGTTTCTGTTTCCATCTCTAGTTCCTTTTTAAAGCTCATCTCATGCTGTTTTGCTATGGTAAGTCTTAACCATGTAATGCCAAATGTATCATATTTGATGCATACAGTTTCTGAAATGTTTTGCATCTGACACCTTTTGCATAATTTAATGGTAAAAACTTTGCTCAAAATCCTATTGTACACAATCAGATTTACCTGAAAACAGAGGGCAGAAGACTACACAAAAAACAATCTTGACTTATCGCATAGTAATAAATTATTAATATCAAAAATGTGTTTCTGTTTTTTCTTTTTACATATTTTGTTAAATGGCCAAATAAGGACTTTAAACCAAAGAAAAGTAATTTTCTGTTTTGTTTTATTCTTGGATCGGGCTTTAAAGGGTTAAAAACCACATCCTTTTGTTAGCTTTATTACTTTATAAAATTATTTCCTACTCACCATTGAACCTCCTTCTGCCCGTCTGCATATGGGTCTATCCAAGATCAACAGTTTCTGAAGGCTGGGTCCTATATGTCATATTTTCACATCAAAATGATGAACTCTTGTTAAAGTTGGGATTTTTTAAAGTTTTATATGAAAATAAAGCAAAGCAATGGCTACAAATATATTTTAATATCTAAGCTTTAATTAAGCTTACTATGAAGTTGTAAGGAGGAATTGCTTTTAAGCAATTCCTCTTTTGCTAAATGTTTAACATGCAGGTCTGAATATTTTTTTCTTCTCCTGTAAAGCAAAATAAGATAAACAAACCCTGGTTTGAACTATACAGCCTAAACGATTTTCCATGAGCCAGCAGACGACTACATCCACCTACAAGAACCTCCACTCAGCTCCTGCAACCAGCGGGCGAGAGGAGATAAGACGGGATGGCAGAAGGTGGCGCAGATTGGGGAGGTGAAAACAGACAAAATGAGAGGTTGAATCTCATCAGCTCCCTTTTAGAGATGAGTCACCAGAAAGAGGATTAATTTACAACACCCAGGACAGTGGGTTCAGACAATGGGAACAAGTGTCCCAAATCACTGGGAAATTAAACAGAGATTACACAATCCCTGCAATCATGAAAAAGTGATGACCGTGAGCAAACAGGGTGATGAAATGAGCTTGCTCAGATGGAAGAAGGGGGGAGGTGAGGCGCTGCACAGAGGGAGCTGCATGATAGCACGAGATTCCGGTTGTAAAAGTCAACCACAGGGGGGAACGTTGGCCGGCAGACCAGCGTGCTTTACCTGCATCACCACTTGTTGCCATGCTAGGGGTTGGCTGGTGGCGGGGTTGGGTGGCAGATTGGCACGCTCGAGCTGCAGGTTGACGTTGCGGCGCTCCTCCTCCAAGGCTCGGGTAAGCTGCTCGAAACGCTCCTCCTGCTCCTTCACCGAGGCCAGGATGCTGGCAGCAGAGCAAACGTCATAGTCCTCCATGTGCAGAGTCAGCTAAGGCTTGGACAGAGCTTCCATTTTAGGAAAAGAGAGGAGAGAAAGGAGCAGGGAGGGGTATCAGGTCATTATAGACACCCAGGCCCATCAGGCTGGATGAGTGGCATGAAGTGGAAGGTATCAAATATGATATTTACAGGTCAGGAGGAGGCAGTGATGAATCATTTAGCATCATTGACATGACACAAAAAAAGCAAGCAATTCTAAAGTTTGGATCATCAAAGATATTTGGTCAAAATTACAGAATGTTTTATGAACTAAAGTTATTTCTTAAAGTCACAGGGAAGCAGCCGTTCCAACCATTGCAGTTCCGAATTCTCCCGAGTGGTGCACGACTTTACACAATGAATAAAGTGAATGTGATTGGTCGTTTATCAAGGGAGAGGGATATTTGTGGCGGAAGGTTTGCAAGTTTGGTTGTGGCCGGTTTCTCAGAAGCATCTTGCTAACCAGTTAGCAACTTAGTGCTAGTAGGTTCCCAATGTGAAATTCCATTGGGACCAAGTAGCACTAAATTGGTGACTTAGAAACGACACTGTCAAGGAACGCTATGGACAGCGGAAACATGCAAGAAGAGGAGAGTTTTGTGTCGGAGGTCGTGGATGAGTCTCCTCCGTCATACATTTTTCAATTAGAGGGGGAAAGTGGGGACGAAGATGTTGTGAAAGAGGGCGGCAGAAGCTTGATTTGGTGTAGAAGGCTTACAGCCCTACATGTTTCAGCCCTTGCCTCGCAACCCTGCCAGTTCTGCTAGCTCTACGCCTGCTGAAGACACAGACATATGAATCAAGATGCTATGACTGAAAAGATTTGATTGACACATGGCCGTTGATATATGATTGGCCGAATTTAGGTGTACAAGCTGACGCATAACTTACTGGCCTGAATAAGATAACGGAGAAAAATAAAACACAGATTTTAAGACAGGTTTTTTGACATTTAAATATGATTTCCCTACGACTTTAAGTCTTGCTGTAGTTTTAGAGCCAAACCCATGGAGACACACGCTCAGGTTTCCTGCTCAACGGGGGACAATACGCAGCAAAGCCTCTAATACTCAAGGCCAACATGGGAAATAAGGATGCACAGCTGGGTGCTGATTTTGTGCATCAGAAGTTTCATCATTAGTAAGACATTCCAATAAACTCCTGATGAACTCCTACACAGATTTTAGAAAATAGAAGTGCTTCTAATGGAGAAGAACATCTCAAAACAGGACAGAACAGAATGAAATAGCACAATGCAGACTCAGGAAAAACCAATATTCTTGTTTTTGGAATGAAAAACGGGAGGAAAGACATTATGTCAGAGCTCCAATGAACATTCACAGCTAATGTGGAGGAGTAGCGCTGTCATTGGTTACAGTCATGCAAAGAGGCCTTAGGCTTTTTAAAACACAAGAAGCATTACAGGCCAAACATCCAGCACATGCAAGATTCCTGCAGCAATCTGCAACAATCATCCACCCCTATCACACACACACACACACGCTGATATCCATTACTGATGGAGGCATGATATCTAGGGGCTGACAGCACGATAACAAAGGAGGCTGGAAATACAAATCCACAACAGTATGGACTAAGGAGATAAGCGGGTGTTAGGAAACAATCAGTCACCTCAATTCTAATGATCACAGCAATGAAGCAAAGCCAAGAACGGAGAGCTGGTAGAAAAGGAGGGAAAGAAAGAACAGGGGGAGACAAGAGAGAAAAGGGAAGACATTTTAAAAAGATTGAAACAAACCATATCCAACAGCACGTCTCTAACCGTCTTCTATTTGACGATGTTGTAAACCAACAAAAAGGTGATAGCGTACTTTAGCAAAGCAAAGACCTGCATACTTCTTTGATTATAAAGATGAAGGCATATTTGGAGGCAGCTCTAAAAAAAAACATGTAAGAAAGACTTTAAATAAATGAATCCGTTCTGGCAGCAACATCGTCTCACGCTGAAAAAGTTTAGAAAAATCCAACCTTTAGTACAATTTATGGATCCCAGTAGTCTATTTGAAAAAAAAAAAAAAAGAAAGGGGATGGTTGATTTTTTTTTTTTTTTTTTTTCGGAAGCATACATAGCGAAATTAATATACTAATTAACCTAAAGCAAAAATCATGGTATGGTTGTTACATGGCACCTTACAGTAGAACTGCAGTCTGTCGCTGCACTGACATGGCTATCACTGGGCTACATAGTTAGTTACAAATTTCCCACTGGGATCAGCTTCATAGTCATGGTGGGTCGCTTCTTTGATTTTATTTATATTACTCAGGCTTCTTGTAAGACTACAAATGTTGAAAGGGCAATAGTATTGCCATTACTGTTTCCCCTGGGGACAAATATGGAATTACAGTAGCCACTAATGTAGACAGCAACCCCAGATTGTCTCACATCAAACACTGTCTGCAGGGAGATCAGATGGTTGCTTTTGGTTGTTAGTGTTAATATGCATTTCCTTCATAAGTCTTTGACTGACTAGTGGACTTAAACTGAAAGTAGGATGTCTTTTGATTTGACAGCAGTATGATCCAAAGCATATATGGCTATGTCAACATAGGTTAATCAGAAACCAAATCAGCATCCTTTAAAAGCCATCAGAGTCTATTATTCATATCGAATACCTGTTTGGTAAGCTAAGACAAAAGTAATACAATAAGTCTGAATACTCTGGAACAACGAGAGAGGCTCTGTTCTCCCTATGACCTCATTTTGTGCTATAGGAGAGGACTAAGGATTTATTCTGAAGGTTTACTCCTATAACAAAAAGGGCAAACTTGATAGTGCATGTAAAGCCGATCTACTAACAGGTGTTAACATGGTTTTTGTCTCTGAGGTAGCCAGAGAACCGCAGATGTATAAAATATGCTGTGTTTCCCTTCATCAACATATAAAACATATGCAGATCATCCAAATTAGCAAAATTCTGGGAGGAGAATATTCAGATGTAACTACTTACCACAATGCAAATAATTTAACCTGAAAAATAATGTGGGGAACTTTCTTAATCTAAAATAAAGATATTTAAAAAAATCATCTGTTCATGTTGGCCAGAGGGCATCGGTGAAATGAAAAAAATGATAGAGAAAGAAAATATTTAGCCTGTCAGGAAGTAAAATAATAGAGGCAAATACAAATAGCAATGCTATTTTTGATGGAAACTCATTACAGCACTGCTAACTGACAACACATCCATTTCCATGTCCTTTAGACAGGTTTTGTCTTCTGTTCAGTTACATTTTCATTTTTTTATACATTTTTTTATGTATCTAAGTGATATCACTCTCAGGAATAGAAGTTATAACCTGAATGGATTTGTTTTTATGAAATACAAATACCAGAGGCTACTGTACGCTGGTGTGTTTGTGCCTCCAGTACGTTGATAAATTTTACTTCAAGGAGAGAAGGTCCTTTCTCTTCTTCCGTTTTTAAATTAAGCAGGACAATTTTCTGGACAAGCATGGTGAGAGTCATAAGCACAAACAAATTCCTAATTTAAACAGGGCACACTGCACCACTTTTACACCTATTATTAATTGTGTACACTACTTTAGTAGATCACCCACAACAAATCCACTAAATCCATGTATGATTTTATATTTGCACATGCTGTTTAGTGCTTTAGTTTCCCCATAAAGTTTCTATTTTAAAGCCAAAGGGAGACATCCTTATTAGTGAAAGAATGCAATGTAATGTATTTATTGATTTAAAGGTATAGTGGACGATGGGTGGATCATCTAAATAAGTGGTCCTCCTCATTGTCAATCATTCTGGAGATGTTTATGTAAGGCCATCCTTACGTGGTCATCCCGATTTTCACTTACCAGTGGTGAGTCTGACATGGCTGGAGGATATCATTTGAAACTGGAGTAAATTAGACACTCAAATAAGTGCTTTCAGAAGTTGAGGGGCCCATTTTTAAAATAATTTCAGACCCTTTAAAGGTTTGGCCCTTGGATATAGCTCAGCCAAAGTTTCGCATTTGTTACACACTCTGAAGTTTTCATCTAACAGTGATTTTAAAATATATTATAACTGGCATATATATTATAGCTGGCAATGACATGGAAGAGATTATTTTGCACACTGTTCGATTTCTTTTCTTCTTTCTTTCTTTCTTTCTTTCTTTCTTTCTTTCTTTCTTTCTTTCTTTATTTTTGTTCTGTTTTTTCCTGTTATTTAATACATTTCATCTGTGCATGGTGTGATTGATATGTACTGTATCCATCTCATGTCCCTGTAGTGACTATTCAGGACTGCACATTTTAATCTGAAAAACAAAAAGAAATACAATTAGAAGAGTTTTAGTGATACATTTACTTTAGTGTTTGACGCTCAGAACTCAGCAGGAAACATTAGGGTTAAATTATTTTGCTGTGATATGCATGAACAGGAGTAGGAGTAGGGATGTTTCCACCCAGGACTGAAACTGGCGGTGGAGTGGAGATGGATGAGTTGGTCAGATCATGACCGCAGTATGAAGAGATCCAGTGAACTGCATGAGCTGGTACTAGAGCTTTACTCTGGGACCTGGAAGATGAGAATTCAGTTTGGATAACACAGGTTGTATGAACCTGTCCATGATGAGCAAGCATGGAGCGACAGTGGAAAGGAAAAACTGCCCTTTGGGAAGAAACCTCTGGCAGAACCAGGCTCAACATGACAGCCTTCTGCCGGACCGGTTGGGATAAGAGAGGGAAGGCAGCAAGAGTCCGGGAAGAATGGCCCTCTGATGAAGCTTGGCTATGATGGTGGAGAAGGTGATGGAGGTGGGTGAATCGGGTCATCTAAGTCAAAGTCCGACATGGTGCAACCGCTGCTAAAGCTTGGGTAGCAGACTGAGATGTGGATTTGGTGACCTTTTAAGATGAGCGCAGGATGCTGATTGGCTTTCATGGAGGTCTGGTTCAGAACTGATTGGCTGTGGTGGAGGCGGGCATGGGTAAATAATCGTTTATTCAGTTGAACTTCCGCCTAGGCTCCATTTCTTATAATGTGAAAATAATAATAAAAAAATATTTAAAAAGGGTTTTGATTATAAAGCATTAGTACAAAATTATACATGATTTATATTATAAATATGATTTATATTATAAATTATACGAAGTTTCATAAATATCTTTGTATTCCTTGAATCATATCCCTGTTGCCCATGATTGACCTAAAGTAAGGGTTCAAAATACTTTCCTTACCTAAAACCTTAACTTATTGTATTGCAGTTACCTAAATTAAATTAAATTCACTTAAAATAGAAAAACCTAATCCAGCCTCCCCTTTTACCTCCCTTCTTATCACATGAATGGTTTTCTAGTTAGGATTTTAGGAATCAAACAGAGCAAAAACTCTAGAGCCTTTTGTCCTTTTCTTTGATGAATGAATCCTTTTACAAAGAATCCAGCATTAAAAAGATTTAGCAGCAAAGATGACATTATGTGACGCAGCACATCGAATCAAAGCAGGCAAACTGACCGTGTCACTAAGAGAAAGATAGCGAACTGGTAGCTTGGCTCAGCTGGGAGCATCAATGAAGAAGAAACGATATGAATCTTAAACAGGTCAGACTGTTGAAACAGAGTCCACAATATGTCCGTCTAATTCTGTGCGCACATGACAAGTAGTCATTCTTTACTATAGGACCTGCTGAGCACAAAGCCCTTATTCCCTTTGAAGCACACAAGCTCTCTTTGATGTTTGTTGCATGCTTATCATTTATTTATCTTATCTGCCTCTTCCATTCGGAGTGGTGTGTGCCAAGGAGACTGTGCTCCGTAAAAATTCCACATCCATTTGAATGATAGAGGAGGCTGCTTCTTAGGCTCTATACCTTTAAAGTTTCTGTCCATCTACGGAGTGAATTTTCTTCCATTCCTTTTGCAAGCAAAGGACTTGTTTTGGAAATAGAAGTTTGCACAAAAACAAAAACAAATTTTCTAAGCATTGAAATTCAAAATATAAAATTCAAAATCTTTAAAAAACATTTTGATAAAAAAAAAATAAGGTTTTAACAGTACTGTTGCTGTTTCCTCTGATATTTTCTTTTTGTTTTCCAGATGTATTCTTTATTTAAATCTGATTTTTATATTTTCAATCTGCACCTGAAGAGTGAATGTTTGTATTGGCTTAAAGGGAAGAGTCTTGATTTGTAAAATGCAACTTTAAAAGATTGTTATTCACAAAAGACAAACAGAAAAAAAGCAAAAAAGATTATAAATTAATAAAAAAAGATTAAACAATAAAATATGAAAAATAAAGAAGAACAAGAAAAAATAGAATAACATCTGAGAAAAAAAGCAAAGTTATTCAGTTTTTTTCATCTTTAATTGTTTCTCAAAGTTTTATTTCATTGCATTTCCTTTTTTTCAGAATTCTATTTACAAAACATGTTATTTACTTGCAAAAATAATGGAACAAATTCACTCCATATCCATCTGACCAAACCATCCTGGTCCGCTGCATTGGCAGCAAGCAGCTGGCATCACGGCTTCAAAATGGAAACATTGCTTTAAAAGGGAGAGCGTATGAAAATAACACTCTTGCCTTTATTGAAAGTTATCCAGCACTTAAGATAAGTGACATCAGCAGAGTTTCCAAAAGCAATGCTGATTGGACACACTTGAACACAGGCTCTAATGATTCGCACCCCTTGGGGGTTGGAGGGGCAACAGAGCCATTGCTTCCTGAGTCATTGGGGGAATAACATGGCAGGCATGTCAGCTACGCCCCACAGCTTATCATTAAACACCTCCTTCTGGCCTTGCTTAAAATAGCCCAGAATGCAAGAGAAGGAGTATCTGAAGAATTCCCCTCAGCTCAACAGATGTTTGCTATAGCCTCAGTCAAAGGGGATAAAAACAAAACAGAGGTCAGCACGTTTAACCCCGGTCACCTTTATATATCCTGCTGTTACTGCTAATTTTATGAGACAGAAACAAATCATAGCTGAACTCTTAAACCAACTTTGTCATCTTTAAACACCACAAAGTTCATTTGTAAGGAGGAGGGATAATTAAAAGCAAAGAGAAAAAGGCGAAAATTACTTATTAATACCAAAAAAAAACTAATGAGTTGGATTTCAGCACCTTATGGCAAAAACATCTCTAATTAAAATAAAAACTAAAAAAGGTTAACTCATTAATTCATGTGCGGTTGCTGCTTTATTTCTGTTGCAAGACTTTTTTCCTGAGCGGTAAACACATCTCAGCATTAATGCACGGCTCTAAATTTAGGCCAGCAGTAAAAATAAAAACCAACCACATATTGTAAAGTGGAGCAGCAGATACTGGGAAAAAAAAGGGGGCAATAACTCGCTATCCATCAGTTTTATGAAACACGCTGACAACCAAGTACACAAAAATCACACGACTCGGCTGAAAAGTGTGTTTTTGTTTCATGATATGACAAAAAGTTCATGAGAACATTGTGGACAGCAGCAGGCTGATGGATCAAGTTGAACGTTGGACTGTGGAAAAAAGGACCTTAGGAGACTGAGATTTTATCAAACTAAAAGTATTCACACCTCTTGATATTTTAAAGCTTTTGTCACATTATATCCCCAACCTCCTGTGTACTATTTTGGCTAATTTAAATCTGAAGTTTTTCTCGCATTTGTATTCAAACATTTTTATTACATAGCCCAGGGGTCACCAACCTTTTTAAGAGTCATAGGAAGGGCTACCAATACTGACCTATGAACTGGAGGAGTCAGCATTCACCTAAACTTCATAAATAATAAACATATTTCAATAGTTTCTTTTCATTTCTAATTTGCTTTTAGATATTGTCATTTATTAATTCCTAAATGCTTAAATGTTTTAATGATTGATATGATAAAATGCTCTATAAATCATAAAAATAATATGTAAAACTCAACACTGGTGGGTTTTTCTGTTTTCAGAAGATGTTGAGGGCCCCCATGTGGTCCTTGAGGGCCCCATTTTCCCCCAAGTTGGTGACCCCTGATAAATACACACTATACCCTGTGTTGGTTTAGGAAAATAAAACCTTATTAAAATACAAAGTCTGAATCTGTGATGTAACAAAATATGGCAAAATGGCTCACTTTTCAGAAATGTGTTAACAATACAAACAATTATTTGCAATTTGAATTCATTAGATGTAAAAAGAACTAAATACTTTTAGAGACTAAGTGATGAAGGTCTCATACGCCAATGGGGGTAATTTCACCTTATCATCATCCATTTGCTCACACAGGCTAAATTAATATATGTGATCATTATCAGCAACTGAGCTCATATTTGGAAATATCAGATATTAACATTAAACCTAAAGAAGGAGTTCTTCTATTTCATTGCTGTTCATTTTAGTAACAGATTAACTGCTACACTGACTATCTGGACGACTCTTGCTGATTGTCATTAGATGTGTCAGTTGCTATTCCTTCTCATGCACAATAAAATACTCATAATTTTGTTTTGCTTTAATGAATTTCAAATGTGAAGCAATTATCTTGTAGAAAAGGAACATTTCACTTAAAAACACTACTAGTTTAATTCAAATAATAAATCATGGAACTGCCGGGATGTAAAATAGTTTTAAGAATCTTACAACTGCTTTTTTTTTTGTTGAATGATTCCGTCAGATTGCTGTGGTGAAGATGGATCTAGTATAATGATTATCTGGTATTATTAGTAGGATACCATCATTAACACAACACTGGAAAGAAGAAATGCATTTTTTCTGGAATCAAAAATATTTTTTAGGACAAGAGTAGCATGAAATAATTCTTAAAATAAGCAGCAATGCCCAAATGGGTGATTGTGGAGAGATGCCAGAATAAACACAGCTTAGTGAGGTGCATGGCTTTTATAGCGCTTCTTTTTCATAGCTGGAGGTAAAGGAATGCAGCTGCTGTTTAACACCCATATTTCATACAATTCTTTTTGTCTGAACTGCCTTACTGAGTCCAGGATAAAACGAAGGAAAATACACAAAAACACATGAAAATGCAGTGAAAAATACGAATAAATCCAAAATTGTTTCTTTATTTTTAAATGAGAAAATAGTTAAAAACAGACAGGTGGATATTGAGCTAGACTTTTTTTAAATAACGCTATGTTAATCTTGCATTATTAAATTTATGGCTGAATTTCAAGAGACACACATAAATAAAGCCGTAAGGAAATCATACTATGCACGGGAAAAAAAACATCAGTCAGTATTTGAACTACTGCTCATGCCATCTGTCTAACTTCATAATAAAGCCTTCAAAGCAGAGTCGTCCACAAAAGAACAACTGTCTCCACAGCGCAGAATAGATCTGAATTGCAATTAAGTTTCTCAAGTTGTAAGTAACTACAGGTGAAAAACTTCAAACATTCAATTATGCAGGCAGATCTGTGGTTATATATCTTGGACCAGAACAAATGCCCTCTGCCATTCTGCTCTGAAACACACAGCGAACTAAAAATCACTTTTACCCACACCTGATTCAGAAGGGTGAATAATTCAAATTAGAGCACCTTCCCTTGAGGAAATAATACTCTTAATGTAGTGAAAAAAGAAAGAATCCTACTAGGTACTTTAGCAAGAAGGAAAAGCTCTCCTACAGTGAGATAAAGAAAAAAAAGTCTTTGAGAAAAAGAAATAAAAAAGAGGAAAAGGAAGCAAAAAAAGGAAATGTAATTACCTCAGTGATGAAGTGAACAATGTGATTAAAGGAGGCAGGAGGTGTAAAGAAGGAAGAATGGCTTTACCTTTGATGTGAGTCCCCTCAGACCACAACCAGGCTGAGGACAGCTGTAGCTCTGCTGGAGTCAAGATGTTTGCTCAGTCTGCAGATTAGAAAAAAAACATGGAAAACTGCGTCAAACTTTTCAGCCAGACCACTGAAAGGCTATTCTTAATATATATAGAGAAAAATATATGGTAGGACTCCCTCCAAGTTAACACCTTTGTTTTAAACTCGAAACACTGTCAATAATATCTGCTTGATAATTAAATCAACACAGAGTAGCTCCTGACCAAAGTATTATAATAATTTACAGTGGGCCCTTGAATTTACGTTATTACATCATGTTCTACTCACCCATATAAGTTTTGTGTTATTTGGAGCTGTTCTGAAGATATTCTGTTAGGTTATATCCAAGTTACGTCTTCCTATGGGTAAAATACTTGAAGACACAAACTAAAGTGTTCATAATTTATTCTTTATGGTATGCCAGCATTCCTAACACAGGCGAATCACTGTCCCCCATACATACATCCGCGCTTATATTTTTTATATTTATATGTTTTAAAAACAAAGCGGCGCATGTATGACTTCATCGTCAACGGAATATCTTCAGAACGGCTCCAAATGACACAAAACTTATATAGGTGAGTAGAACATGATGTAATAACGTAAAATCAAGGGCCCAATGTAAAATAAAACGAAATTCCCCTTTAAGATATACAGTATAACAAACACAATTCAGGAACAAAATATTGATTCATTAATTGACTTTATTGATCTCAGAGTGGAGAAATGTACTCATTACATCAGCTCAAATGGTCAAAGGAGAAGAAGAAAGAAAAAGGTGCAAATAAATATATAGAGTATATACAGTGCGTCCACATATGATTTTTTTTATAGTAGGATTATACGGCAAATTACAAATTACCCAATGTTGTCTTGACTTATTCATAGCTCCCGTAATAATTGAGTCTAAGCTTTCCAATAATCTCCAACTAGTGAAAATCAAATAAGAACTGAATAAGATATGAGGATTTAAATGTTGGGGCTCTCTATGATGCTTTAGGGGAAATCAGCCCTTGATGAGTCTTTAGAATCACCCTGGAAGCAAGCAGGGTGGTACCAAAGATGTTGATTTAAACACATTTGCATACCCTACAGGCAAAACTTGTCTGCTAAGGCTTCATATTCAAAGGTAATTTACAACAACTAATTACATTATTATCGTCACATCTGCGCATTTCACAAACATCTGTCAGATGTCCGACAAAATTAAAGCAGACTTTAGCAGTGATATACACTTATAAAAAAACTAAATGAAAAACCAAAACTTGACTTTAGAAAACTGGAAATTGTCAAGTTTGTTTTATCTCTGCATGTTCTTTTTTCATTATGACAGCATTTTGGTCTGAAATGAACATGTTGGTTAAATTGTTCAAGGTATGGTAGGTAGGGGAGGATGCTCTTTGTCCATGTGGATAGTCAAAATAAGTGGTTCTCCTAATTGTCAGTCGTTCTTGTGATATGTTTCAGTGCATGCACACTTTCAGGTGTATATGTGTGGTGAGACGGTCATTGAAGCTTACCATTCTCAGTGCGGTTCTTTGAAAATAGCCGCGGGTCATAAGAGAAAAAGTGTCTATGAAGTGTATGAGAAGAAGAGAAAGGCCTCAGAAGAGCGAAACAAGACCAGGATGTTTTAGGGAAATAATTTCACGTGATGGCGAACAATGAAAGCACACGTCGGTCTTCCCACTGATTCCTCGTTTGAGAAGTTTGTACTCGACAAGTAAAGTTGGGCATGCCATTTGGAGAAATCGATTTCACATCTCTGCTAGTAAAACAAGGAGAAATGGGCTCGTGCACACTGTCGCATGCGTTTAATAGGTGTTCCCTCTCGGGAGCGGGTACAGGGTTGTGCATGTGCATTTGGAGAGGGCGGTTCTTTTCAGACATTGATCATTCAAAAAGAGGGATGATATGTTGAAAGACAGCAATTGAAAATGTGTTAATAAAGGCTTTGGTTTTGTTCTAACAGCTTTATTCTAACAGCACTTATAGGAAGAGTCCTGGTTCTGTGTTACACATGTTGCATTGTATTTATCATACTTTAGTTGTTCTCTCATTTAAATCCTTCTTTAAATCTGACGTCTTGGTTACCGTTCCTCCATGATAGGTAAAGTACAGTTTTCTTGTGTGGTAGTATAGGCACAATGACCATCATGTATTATTGTTGTTTTCCAGGTGGGGGAACAACAGAACATTTATCCTCATAGGCCTGCAAATGTCTATCCCAAATCTTAATCTGAAAATATCTCACAGGTGTTTTTGCAGTGAATCAATTTTGAATCAATTTGACTTTATGATTTGGTTGTATTGTGCCTTGAGATGACATGTGTTGTGAATTGGTGGTATATAAATGGACTGCATTGAAGTGAAGTCTCCTCCGGCTGGTGTGAGTACCTTTTTAAAGTCATGTAAACATCACAACTGTGAACCTTTATCTCCTGCACTTTTCCTCAGTCATCCCAAGTTCCACAGTACAGAAAATATTTAATCTCAGAGAATTTTTTATTATTTTTTTTTACCAGTTTTTCACGTTGCAAGTAGGCCAGAAGCTGTAAACTGTGGAGGTCGGTCAAGTGGTGAGGAAGTCCACATACTGGTAGAAAGTGCTGGTATGCTAAGGAGTAAAACTTAGAAGAGATTGTTTCACCCAATCCTTTCTGCCTAAGCAAGTGGCCAAGAGCTCACCCTAAGGCACTGAGGATATTGGCCAAAATAAGCCACTACACCACAGATGCAGAAAGGTTAGATTTTACTCAAGAAAAGGCAAAGATAAACACAACTTTGAAAAAGTTTTTCAAATGTTCAAGTTGCAGATTTTACAATAAAATGAAAATCACTTATTGATCAGAATTTGATGTCTTTTTAACATTGCGGTCTAATTTTTTGTTGTCATGCAAACTGCACACATTGACAGTAGGTGTCAATATTCAGACTATTAGGTGTACATCAGAAAGAGGGAACAGGAATTAAAAAATTGGCAGGAGAAGATAAACCAGAGTTGTTTTTATTGAAACATGAGGAGAGAGCTGCTACCAACATTTCTCACCCAGGTACTACAAGGATGCAAACTACTAAATGCTTGAGTAAACTATATGTTCTTGATTCAAATGTTGGGAACTGAAAATAGTCTAAATATGAACATTGGACATTGGTAAGGCCAAGTTGGAGTACACAATAACTATTTGAAGGTCTTTAAGTGTAACACCCAATGTGAATAAATAGCCATGCTTCTTGGCAGAATTTTGAAAACGAAAAAGTTTTCAGTGCCAAGACACTCTGTGGGGGCAGGGTTAATTGTGAGGATGATAATGGGTGTGGGTTTGATTTTTTATTTTGCTAATAAACTCTTTACTTGGCTGTATACATGTCCAATGCATTGATTTGACAATTTGCCACCCATTCTTTATAGTCCTGCTTTTGGCACCCTGTTCATGCTTAACAATTCTACAGTATCTGATTTTAAAAGGGAGTTTTTCCTCTCCACTGTTGCTACAAGCATGCTTAGTGTGAGGGATTGTATTTGAGTCAATGAGTCGATGCATCAACTGGTTTTCCTTAGATAGAAAACTTTGAATCAATTTGACTGTATGATCTGGTGAACTGTACAGTGTCTTGATATGACTTGTGTTGTGAATTGGCACTATATAAATAAACTGAATTGAATTGAATTAAATCAGTACTGGTTCTGCTCCATCGTTAGAGTATAACTAAAGTTGATTTGGAGTGGGTTACATTTGAAATAGCATGTTCAATGTTGCATTCAATGCTTTGAATGGAACAAATCATAGAACAGACAAAAAAACTAACATCGTTTTTGTTTTAACTGATCTTGCTTATCTCAGTAAACATCTGGCTGAAAGTTGACATCGATGGAAAAGCTTTGAAAACAAAGTACTAAGACTTTTCTGGACTTTTAATATTGTAGAAAGCTACTGTGCTGTGAGCTTTTATACTGATGTCCACTAAGTAATAATATTCATCACTTCCTCAAACTAAACTGACTGCTGAACACTGAAGGTAAAATACATGCTGCTCAAAAATCTGAATCCTCCTTTCTATCGCACTTTATGTATTCCTAGAATAAAGCTGAGTCATTATTGTGTCCTTAGAGTAGAAAGTCTTTTGATTAAAGAATGGCATGAACCTAAAATAAAGGAAACTTTATTACCGCATTCTATGTAAGTCAGGGAAACATCATACCAATGATAATGATGTTAGAACACCTTTTTAATTCAATTATAACCTAAATACTCTCAGTAGCACCTTTCTAGAGACAAGAAGATTATGAGCATTTCGTCACCAAATAGAAGTTTCTCAGGCAGATATCTAGACAAAGCTTAACTGTTGAAACAAAGCTTTTTTTTTTGTTCTGACCTCCAAATTTCCACTAAAAAACTTGAGAAAAACAAACACAAGGAAAGATTAAGGACCAATTATGTTTGATGCCATGGGGTGAATCCCTCTGTCATCCAATCAGACCTGTCCACAGGCTCTACTCTCTTTGATGGCTGATAAAGCACAGGGCCTGTTGGACTGACCGCCCCATGAAGATGAGACTAATGACGGCTTCAAACACTCCCGTTTCAACACTTCCTTGCAGCTTAACATTAATTCATATTTCACTTTTGATGCAACAAACGGACTACTTGAAATTTGCTTCACTTATCTAGAAATGCTTCAAGCTTGAAAACTGAGTTCACCAGCAGTTCACCTCACGCTGATGATGTAAACAGAAATCTTTAGGTTGCTTCTCAGCAGTAATACCACCACCAGCCCTGTTACCAGTGGCACCCTATCAGAACTAAGCTGGACCACCTTACGCCCCCAGAAAACTGCATTGATTCTTTCAGCATTTCTAGGTTGCATTATTCTATTGAATGTAGGTATTAAATGGGTATACTGAGGCACTATGAAAAATGTATATGATCAGCAACAACATTCAGCTGAGCTGTGGCGTTCGTGAAGCTAAATTGAACTAAAATAAAAACCATCTCCCACATCTTTACCAAATCTTTGTCAAATTTGCATTTC